TGCAGCAGCCGCCGCCGCCGCCGCCGCTGCCACACGCATCAGCATCACCTTCACCAGTGGTAGATACATCGTATCTACCACCATATATCGTGAAAGGTAATTAACAAAAAATTATATAAAAATATCCGTTTAAAAAAATATAACTAATATTTTATTATTCTTTTCAGAGATCAAGAATTGGCAGCGGCAGCAGCAGCAACAATGGCAGTGGCAGCAAATGGGAGTGCAAAATTACATGCCAGTTCTACGTAAGTTTTATTTTTTATTTTTTACCTCTGAATTATATTTTTATATTTGTTTTTTGTTGTTACAGCACCACGGTGGAGTAGAACAGGAGGAAATCGCGGTCACCGAGGAGGTCGCGGTGGAAATCGCGGTGGAAATCGCGGTGGAGGTGGACACCGGCCGGTCCACTTCCATTTTTAAAACTACTACTGTCCCCGTTGTTGGTTTCGAATATCTCTGGTACTTTAGAATACAAAATTAATGATATACAACCAGTAAATATTTTTTTATTATTAGTACATTAAATTTTTTTTTATTATTAGTAGTATCTACAAATTAGAAACGCAATTGGGTCGATTTCGCGAACAGTAGGATCCATTGGTTTCCAAAATTAGAGAGAGAGAAATGTATTATATCGGTAATATTAAGGTATATCGATTAAAATGAAATTCAAAGTTTGCGTGCAATACTGAAATGAAAATTTATGTCAATATTGAAAGATTATTTTTGAATTAATTTTAATGAAATCTTGTTGAAAGTATGCTCACAAATGTGATGATCTCTGCTTTGAGGCGGTCACAGTGCTTTTACCTTCGTTGCACAAAGAAAACCAACAATAGGGCAAATTAAATTGAGCACTATATTTTTGACAAGTTACAATAATACCAATACAAAACGTTACACGCTCTATCTCGTGCGAATAATTCTTCCCTGCGTTGAAATTAGATAAAGTTTGCGATAGCAATTTATTTGTGCACTAATTGACGACTGTCGATTACTTTATTTGCGCGAAGGAACGGAATGGCGGAATTTTATAAC